GTTGAGATGCAACATCTGAACATCTGAAATCACCTGCTTTGACTCTTGAAGACAATTATTGTAGTCATCACTGTCTAAAAGAACCACGAGGCTTCAGTGGTCATATCTCTGGTATGTGGCAGATATGAAAAAACACACTTTGAGAGATTACAGGGTACAAAGGACACTGGGGTCCATGATATGCAACTGCAAAACACCTCATGGTTGTAGTTGTGCTTAAGTCATGTTCTCTTATTTTGGAACAGAGACGCATCGTCAAACATGGAGCCATTTTACAGACACGAAGCAACCAGTTTCTGTTTGACCTCATATTGCAATCTATTTGTAAGTCCACAATCTTGGACTGGAGACCTGAAATGAGACTGCTTGTACGATCAGATGTTTAAGGTCGGTGTGGTCCAGACCCTGCAGGGGAAACCTAAATGAATCGTATTTACCCTACGTCATTGTAAGAACCAGCTGACTTCCAGGCTAAAATAACGATTATGCACACTGCTTCAATCAGCAAAGATGACATCATGCATGTCATCTTCATAACATTGAATTTAGATTACACAAGTAGATTACACATTTAATAGAGACAGAGGGAGGCCAACATCTTAAGACATAAAACATTACTGGGCAGCTTTAAGGTTAATCTTAATTTACTATTAGCAATCGAGAAAACTCACTTTGGTATCATTTTAGATTTAAAAGTAAACAAACACAAAGCTTCAATGATGACAGAAAGAAAAATTATATTGCACACTAAATTGTGTCTGTGCTGAAAAATAAATCATTAACCATACATCTTGATGAAACAACCCTGTATAGCGTTTCCTCAAATAGTGTTTGTTAAAATTTAAACACTATTTAAATAAACAACACACCCCTGAAATAGATGCCAAGCTAAACTACTGATGTATATTATGTATGCTTAAATACTGACAATGATCATTACACACTTTGTATTTTGTGAAACTGCAGCCAAACATGTCAGCTACTGAATTTGTCAGCCAGAATTTAGCATGTTTTCCATTAAATGTATTGAATTTAAATGTGTTTTTTTTTCTTTGCTTTTTAATTGAATAATATTTAATTATTTTTCCAAATGCTTGGTGACACTGATTTTTCTTTAAACAAGGCGTCCAGACATGTTGCTGGTGTTCATTTAAACACAACTTTAATTAAACCATGATTTAAAAACACCACCTTAAGTTTAGACAAAACAGGATCCTGGAATATGCAAACATCGTCTGCCATAACGCCATGGGGTGCTGGAGGGGAATGTTGGAAACAGCAGAAATCTGCCCCATATTTACCCAACACCCACATCTGAATTTCTATTCAGCAGCTGAATGTTTGCCACCTGGTGAGGAGATTTGTTTCCTCCTCGTCTGTCTGGATGTTGGTGTGACTCTGATGTTTATCCTACATGTGTCACATTCAGCAAGTCCACACAAAATACTTATTATTTCAGGGATTTCTACATGTTTACCTCGCTCTGCCTCTCCATAGTTCTCATTTACCCACAGATATTTAATAACTCACAACACCACATGCATAAACACACCATCAGGACAAATATTTCCAGTCCAATAAGCTAACCATCAACTAGAATCATTTCTAATGGCTTGGCAGGGGACTAAGTCTTTTTTGGGAGTGTTAACACTTTAGCTTAAGAACCAGAGAATGCCATCAGGACTTGTTTTCTGGTATTTACAACTTTCCCTCTCAGTGTGGGGTTGTTTCCAGTCATTCACTTCAGCACATGAGAAATTGGGCACTTACTTTGATTATGCTAAGTTAATGCTCAGCAAAAAAGCAATAAAGCTTTGCATGAATCTTATATTACAACTTCATATTACTGGTCAAAGTGGGGTCTGTCTCTGGCAAAACTATTCAATTCTAACAGTAACAGATGAATAGTTACAAACATGTTAAACCAATATTAGGACTGTGCAACATATTGAAAATTCATCCTAATCACAGTATCACAGGAGATAATGTGATAGTGTATCACAGCCAACATTCATGTTGTAAAGAACTGTTTGAACTGTATCAAACGTCACCCAGCTGTTTAAGGCTCTCTATGTTGCTCATTTATTTGTGACACTTGCTTGATGCAGCACAAAAAGTTTTAGAAAACAAAGAGGTGGTATGGTCGCAAAATCATCAAAAAGAAACTAGAATCTAGTTTGCCAACACAGCAAAGGTCAGCCAGAACCAACTTCTGCAATAAAACCTCTTTGATTTTTATTGAGATGGAAATAGTGGATTTTGTTTTTCCTATTAACTGGAGTTTCTGCTTCCGTTTGACATGAAGATATGCTGAGAGGTAATTCAGCCATTTGACTCCAGAGTGACGGAGTACATGATGCTAAAAGTTACAACACAGTGACTCTTGAGGACTGGAGTTGGAGAAATCCTAAGAACAAGCATAAAAATGTACATTTGAATTAGTCTGACCTTGATTGAATTATTATACAGTCTGTGTCTTTAAAACAAAGAATATGTTTTGTAAAAATATGCATAAACCCAAGAAACTGGTTCCTCCCCCCACAAAATATCAGTCATTTCATCTCATTAGTTGAGATGAAATAAAAGTAATTTCTCATCAAAATCAGCAAACACAAGCACTGGACAACGGAAAAAAAACAAACAAACAATGATCTCAATGCAGGTCTTTTAATGCATTTTAAGGATCATGGGTTCCTTCATTTTTTCTGAGTGCTAAACATATTTACCAAAAATAAAATAAAGTTTGAGCTGTTATTATGTCACATGGTCAATGATTTGATGTGTAATGGATACCACTACTGTTGTAGGGATTTGGTTGCAAATACTCTGCGTATATTTAAGCCTCTTACACATTTTGTTAGATATGCTTCCTTTTCAACAGCTGCTTCCTTGTCTAACTTTCAATCCAAGATTTTGGAATTACCCAAACATCCTCCATTCATTCCAGCAAGTAGCTCTTCCATGTCTGCTATGGGTTGTTTGTGTGTATTTCTCTTCTGTAACAATCTGTGAAGTGTAACCTGTAATTAACTGTAACGTTGCCAAGAAAACTAGGTTTTGCAACACCTGTTGCATCAGAAGGAATGCTGTGAATGTCATGCGTTTTATTTTGGCAATCATGCAAGAACTCGCAAATTCAACTGGTGAGAAATTAAGTGATTTATTGCACTGAAACCAAAGTCTATGTAAGATTCCCCGAGGCTGCACTGAGAAAGATCTTCATTTTACAAATATTTTAAAAAGATTGGAAGCTTTACACCAACAGAAACCCACTTCAACAATTCCCAAATTTCATGAAAGAGCCACTTTGTTTATATCTTTGATTTTGGGATGTTAAATTCAGTTAACTTTCACTGTCATTTTAGAGAACTGAATTCACCAAGTCTGCAAGCGCGTCTCACCGATGTGAGAATGATGGACCCACAAACCTGGTGGTTTACATTTGTCAAGACTTTTGCACATACTGTTTGACTCAAAACAGCTACATTGTGGCATCAAAACTTTTTTTCCTCTTTTTGGTGCTAATGGAACCAAACACCTGAACTGATCCAGAGGGTCTCCTGTTTGTTCTTTCAAAGTTGTTAATCTCTGCTTGTAAATGTAAAAATTACACCTCTAGTTTGAAATGCTTGCACCCTGCAGTTACATAGAAGGTTAGGGGTTGGTGATACAGCTGAGGACAACACCTGGAATCCCTCAGCAGCACGAATAAGCACTGATGAAAAACAAATGTCAGGATCCCCCCCCCTCCTTCTCACTGACTCTGTCCCTCCTGTAAGCCCTGGAGCACCAGGCTGTGTGTGATGAACTAATGGCTACTGCCAGATCCACTGCAAGCACCGTGACTTTTGAGGGTCAGGGAAGTTTATGAGGAGTTGAAAGTACAGCTTCATCTACTTTTGTCGATATTTCAAACAATGATGCATTGACATTATCATGTGGTCTTACAAGATAAGGATTCTGGCACATGGAATCAGTTTGAAAGGGTCATTTCATGTGGAGTCACTCATCAAGATGGCAAAACTAACATTAACCAACATGGGCTGGTTACTAGTTTCAAGGCATAATATAATTTCAAAAAGTTAATTCTAAAACTGCTACAATTTTAAGTGACACATTTTGGATTTTTTAAAAATTTATTTTCACAAGTGAAATAATATCATAAATCACAAACTATGCTTAAAAGAACCAGTATTGAGTCTGGCATAATTTTATCTAGGCTTACGAATAAACATTATGCTTTCATGCAAAAAAGCATCGCAAATGCTTGGCTAAAATATTATAAATCTCAAATTGGACTTTAGAGACTCACAACTAGCAGCTAGACAATAACATACTTCAGAAGCACTTCTTGTTTTTCATTTGACCTGCACTCATGGCGTCCCCTACACGATGCCGCCCTGTGTAAAGAGCCATGGACCATCAACCATTCAAATGGCTGTGCTATGTGTGTGTATCTAAATAAACCTTTAAAAATAAATATTTTGAATGATAAAAATCAATGATAGCAATGATGGCTGTGTGAACCTGCTTCACTGTCTGATCTTTCCTCTCTACCACTGCTTGTGAAGTAAAGCTGCCAAGTCAGTATTTTTATAGCATAAAGTGTCTTATTAATGAACTTTATTCCATTTTGATCTGCAATTCTTTCATCATGATCCTCATTATGTTTTTTTCTTAATGGTAACCAACCAGGATCTGTTTCCCTGCGGTAAAAAAATATGACTTATTAGATTCTCATCCCTTTTCTGACTGCAGATATGAGAACAAATGATCTCTCATGGAGAGCAAATCACCTGCCAGAAAACAGTCAGCACCATCTTCCCGTTATGACCCCACAGCTTTCAGAAGATTAATACAACTGTGAAAACTTTTATTCAATCAATGATGCTGACAATCCCAACATGTCTGCATATCAAACGCATGGGGTCACGCACGCGGCTGTGCGTGTTTTTTCCACAGTTCAATGGATGGACTGATAGCAGGAAGAGTCGACGTACCCTGGAGATGGTTAACGGTGTGCTGAAATCCCGTCCTCCCACCAGGCGGAAGCCCCACGGAGAGGGTCCCTTCAGTGTCACGGTGTACGACATGACTGCTGTTTTACAAATTCCTTTCAATAAATCAGATTTCAGCTGTTCGGAGGAGGAAAGGGGGAAGTCCGGTAAAAAGCGAGCGTGAAGCAGTCAGTCGTCCCGCAGCTGCTAGGCAACGCCGTCCTGGCTCTGAAAACTTTGCGCTCCGCTCCTGATTCAACTTTAAGTAAAGAGCCGCCTGTGACGTCACTGGCCGGGCTGTCCCGCCCGCTTTCACCCCGACTGAAGGCGTGAGAGTGGGAGGAGACCCACTGGACTCTGATCCGAGTCTTCACTAAAATATAGGACAAGAAAATATTTTCCCCTCATTTGATTAAAATATCAACATACAATTAAAACTACTTTTGTATCAGCATAAGAATGACCTGTTTGTTTTTCCTCTCACTTTTTTTTTTTTTTTTTACATTCATTTTAGGTAGCCTAGGTTTGCCAAAATGACAAAATGCAAGGAATGCATCTAATATTCTACTTTATATTTTTATATTCTATTTATTTTTTTGTGAATCTTCACATTGCTGCTGGTCTGTCTGATTTTTTTACTGCAAAAGTTGTTTCTATTCCAGTTATTTTGAGAGACAAAAAGAGATTCCAATTATTTTTCTAAATGTAAGTGTTTGACCAACATGACAGTCATTACATTTTGTAGAAAAAGGGGGAAAGTTGCATCATCAGGTTGTTTGGGGGTTTTGTTGTGGAGCAGAGTGCTGCAGGCTGCAGGGCTGTGCTGTTGGAAACGCTGCTGCCTTGCAGCAAAAAGCTCCTGCAGCTCTTGGGTCCTGGAGTTTACATAATCTCCTCTGGCATGCGGGGTTCTCTCCAGGCTCTCCTGCTCACTTCAGGAGTCCAAAAATATTTATATGAGCTTAATTAGGTTCTCCAAATAGCCTTTAGGAATGATCATATGTGTGAATGACTGTTTGTCCTGTGTATCTTATGTTGATGAATGGATGGAAGGAAGGATGGATGGATGGATTGGGGATTTGTGAACTTCATAAGATGAGGGCATCTAAAGGAAAGAACATTTTGTGGAAATATCAAAACAACATCTTAAGAACCAGGAAGTTAAAGTTAACAGTTTGTCAAATGACTGCTGACTCTTACAAATGCAGACAAATTAGTTAAGATGTGGTTTAAGAACAACACAGTCAATGTTTTACTGTCCATCACAAATCTTTTTTATTCATCAGCCAACACAGCTTTGTTTAGAACTGAAGTCCAGTTCTGTTTGAAGAAGAAGGTAGCTTTGATATTTTTAAATCAATAAAGATTTTTTTAAAATGAATAAAGCATTCATGCCTCCAATTGGATTAAAATGGTGACTATTAATGTCCTCAGAGCTGACCATCAGGACTTTATACTTCCATCAAGTGCTGATCATTAAGATGAGATAATTCAGTGATCCATGTTTCAGATTAAAACATTCTGGCATCAGATTCAAAGTCTCTTCATCCACAGGAACATCAGCTTCAGTAATAGTGGTGTTTTAGCAGGTGATTGTTTCTTTGTTGTTGTTGTTGTTGTCCTGGATATCATTGGGTTCAACTTGGCCATCCACATAAATGATGTTGACAGTTAAATCGACAAGAAGTTTTTGGATACGTTTCCTGTGAGGTACTCTATGAAATGAGTTCTGTCAAACAAACGCTGTTAGACTGGCACAAAAAAGCTTCCAGCTGCAGTCAATTAAGACCTCAAGCTGAAAGTTGAGATGTCTTGGCAAGCTAATGGAGGCATTTTGGAACGCCACCAAATTAATATTCTCAGTGCATATTATGATGTTGTTGGTTTGGTAGTATTGAGTATTAAGTTAACTTCAGAAAATACTAAATATTGACAGGCAATATTTAGTCTTGGGGTATTTTGCATTCATGCCCCCAAATATTTAATAGACTGTCGGCAATATGATGAAAATATTCTAAACCTAAATTCAGCACCTTAGTCACTGACCAGGGCCTTCAGTTTAAAGTCATGATGAATAAGACAGAGAAAGGAATGATCAAGTGTTAGTGTTGTAATATGGATGCCTAGTAGCAGAGGACGCCTCTCCCGTTATTATCCTCACTGCCTGATTCTTTATTTGATCCAGCCACTTATGGAGAGAGTCAGTGGGTTTGAGCAGATTTCTTTTTCTTTTTCTCTAATGCAGAGGGAATGACCTCATAGGTGTGTGACCTTTAGTAGGTGGCACACATGTGGAGTCCTATCTTGAGATCTGAGTCAGTTTGAATCAGACACTAACGAATAAATGCATCTGTAAAGTTAAGAGGGTGTGCTTCCATTTAAGCTGGACGTCAACATCAGGTGAATCAGCACTGAATCGATGCCAGCCTCTCAATCCAGACTCCACAATGAGCAGCTAATGAGAAAATTTCAGAGCACACTGCATAATGAAAGTCATACACTATATATGCTGACATTTCTCTCAAGTCAAACTGTAAACTGCATGGACACAAAGTAGCTGTGTTTAGTTCAGAAAACGATCTGAAGAGGTGCAGCACAGACAGAGCACTGATGTGTTTTCTAAATGGTTTTGGTTTGTGTTTAGACAGACATAATTTCCAAAAAGTTTTACTCCATTCACTTTATGGAAACATAACAATTAATAAAAGATTTTTTTCTTCCTCCTAAGAGGACAATGTTTCTCAAAGATCTGTAGAAACAGCTTGCAGGTGTAGATACTTAACTTTATACACTCATCCTTTTGGGAAATCATATGCAATCATCCAAAGAGATAAATCTTGTCATGTTCCTCTGGATTTTGAGTTTCATCTAAGCAAAGCAAAAGTAGTAAAAACAATATGTGCACAATCTTTACAGGCCTGTAAATAAAGCAAACAGTTACATCACCAGAGATTGTCCTCAGACTGTTGTGAGCAGACGGCTCATCTGCTTGCAGCCCTGGCTTCATCAAAGGATGACTAACCAGAGAAGAAGAAAGCCTTTGAGGACAGCTGTCTGTGTTGAAGATTTATTGGGACGTCAACATCTTCTTCAAAAGCCTGTTTGCAGTAAATCTAGTTGAACCTCTCCTTTTTCTGTTCTGTTCTCTTTTTCTTGATGATCATAATTTAGCGTACCTTCAACAGAAACTAAGGTCCTTTTAATGCACGGCAAATATACTTATCCTGGTTTTACCTCCGTGTTGCATAGACTTGAAGAATGCGAGCGGAAGCAGGTAAGACAAAATGTAGTCATGAGCTGTCTGCCTGTCTGGGTTTTTGTTACTTGTTGGAAAGAATTATGTCATCTCTTCAGTTGCACAAATCCTGGCATCAAACCAGCCAGAAAAGTTTTGTTTAGTGCAGTCATGTATAAAACACAATCAAATTAATTAATTTCTAATGACATTGTTTTAATATTTTTATTCACCCAAACAGGCAAATAAATAAGTTTTGTAAATGATACCGTATTAAAAATTATGTCAAACAAAAACAAAGTTTTTTCTTAAAAACGTAGATATCTGTAAAAAATCAGAACCCTAATTGTTACTAGATTGAAATTATTGTAATTTTGAAACACAATTAAAGTTTGATTTTAATATTATTATTATTTTATTATTTTTCACTCTGTCAGTGTAAGACAGTTCTTTTGGCTCAGTTTCTCCTTTCTCATAAACATATGATTCCAGCAGGATACAGCTGTTTTCTAGATAAAAATGTGTCCACTGTGCCCACTGCCAAACGCAAGGCAGACACAAGCTGTGCTTCTGACAAGTTGTCACGTAAATCTGAAACAACTTTTTTAATGATACAAATGTTCCTAAACTGGAAATCATTCTAAAAAATGTTCTAACTACCGTTACGGATGTTAAAACCACAATTGGATTTTAATTTTTAACTGAGTGAAAAAATATGGCTGTCATGATTTTTGGGGCTTTGGTTTTGTCTTAAGGTTTAGTTTATTTTCTGCTCCTTCTTCTCCTGTGTTTTCTATCAGACTTTTCTTCCATTTTCTCATTTCAGTTTCAGTGACTTGCCTTCCCTCACAGCTGCACCCACTTTCTAATCAACCTTCTGGTCCTTGTTCAGTAATCAGCTGTCCAGCCTGCCTCCTGATGGACCAGTTCATTGTTTAACAACCTACCCTCTGCCTCTCCCTGCTCTTCACCGATGTGATATTTTATGAAGAGTTTAGCTGTTAAAGTATAAAATAGCTGGAGTGCATTTATCCTCATTTTACATTTGTATACAATTTTAGGCTTTGTCTCTATGTCTAAATAGCTTAAGCTCAGACAATTTGTCTGTTAACACATTTTTTCAAGTTTTGCCCAAAATGTTCAATTAGATTCCTCTGAACTTTGATTGGGCCATTGTGCTGAGAATTTTGCGATGTCCAGTGTTAGTTGCTGAGCATGAGGTACTTTGAATATAGACCAAAAATGAACATTTTTGTCTCAATTGTTTGCTGTGTTCCCCACTTGTGGAAAGCTGCAAATTAAACTTTAACTGTCTTTTTTGTTGTTTGTTTTTCCAAGAACTGGTTTTTGTTAGTCATTCTTAAACAAAAGACTCTGGAAGAAGAAAGCTTTTCTCAATAAAACTCCCATTGCACTACCGGTCAACTTAGATAGCAGAGCTGCAGCTGTGTCATGCCTATAATATTTTTATTATAACATGTAGTTTTAAGAAATATTACTCCATGTTTTATTGCCATCTTTAAAACATGTAATATTGCTTAAAATCATGCTATTTTTTCAAATACAAAAAAAGAATAAATGAACCACCAAGAAATAGCTGCTATGATACACTAAAGAAAACCAAACCCATGAGGGTTAAACTGCAAAGTATCAGCATAATATCACTTCTTAAGAAGATACAAATGATAACCTTGTCTATTGCATATTTTTTGTGAATTAGTTAGTCACAAAAATGTTCTACAAATATTTCAGGTGAACAAGTTAAATAGCAACAAAGCTAAGACCAAACAAAGGTTTTATTGTGACAAAGTTAAGAAGCAGAAGGAAAATCTTGCTGACATTTTTTTTTGATTAGTAACAGATTTATCTCGATAACAAGAAACCCTCAAATGTCTCCCCTAGTTCAAACAGCACATGCTGGAAACAATGCTGCCATGTGTACTACTGAGCCTAAAGCAGCTTGTGGGGAAGCAAATAATGGAAGGGAAATCATAAAGCTTAATTCATGTGGTTGCAATATTCAGAAATGGAGAACAGACAAATATAAT